ATTTCGATACATTTTATATATAATTATTGATAAATACTTTAAATCTTTAGATTTTGAATCTACTTTAGTATAAGAATAAACGTAATGTCTGATTTTGATTATATGTTATCTATGAAACAGAAAGTATTTAAATGAGTTTTCTCTTTTTTTCGTTGCTTTGTTTAATTTTGCTTTATGATATTGATAGTGATATTATTAAAAGATAAATAGAAATAAAAAAAATATATATACTTGAAAAAATTGAAGAAATATTTTGTTGAAATTGATTTAATTTACTTAATAAATATATTAATATCTTTGTTTTATTTATTAATTTATGAGTTAATCTTTGAGCAACTGAAATTTGCAGCTTCCGAATTAAAGTTTAATAAATATATTTACATTTTATAGCAATAAAATCTTCATTTAAATAAAAATATGAATTTTAAAGTGTTATAATTTATACATTAATATTGTAAATTAGAAATTTTGATTTTCTCTGTAAAATATGTACTCCATTTTGCTTTTTCTTTGCGGCATTGTTTCGTTATTTTACCTCCATCAAGAAGAAGAAAAAAAAATACCTGTTACCTTAATCAATTCTGCACGGCCTTTCTTTTTCCGCCCTTCAAAGGTGGTGGATGAAGAAGAACAAAATGAAGAAGAAGAAGAACTCGATGATGAAGCAGAAGAAAAGAACAAGTTTTTAACTTTCTACCCCTAATTTATTACGTTCCCTCCCAACGAGCGAGAAAATCCCCGAAACTTTAGGTCGGACAAACTTTAAATTATTGGATCCTCTCAAACAAACACACAAAAAAGAAAAAAATATGTAAGAGGAGAAACGAGAAAGAAAAAAAAACGCATAAATTTTGAAAGGTACAAAGGGGTACCGGTAAACTTAATATCCAATAAGGATTAAGGTCCGATAATGCAAGGAAATATCGCTTTTGAAATGTGAGCCTAAATCGTGTAATTACGTAATATTACGTTTGAAAACGATTGTTATATAATTTCTCATCAATCGCAATAAATAAATTGAAGAAGTCAGAAATGTTTTTGTAATATTTTTTTTTGTGTATGTTACTTACTTTGACATAAATTTCTTCCTAATATTGTATAGATTTTTTATAAGTATAATATTTACATTTACATAAGTACAAAAAATGAATTATTATTAGATATTATTGACATAATTATGATATTATTGTATAAAAATAAAAAAAATCCATTTAATTATTTTTAATTTCTTTACGATTCTTTCATATATATTTTTTTTACGATCGTTTTTAATTGCGTAATTTTTGCGCAAATCATTTTGGTTTCGTTTCTTATGGGAACATGAATCACATCGATTACTTTTAATTGCAACAAATCTATTTATTAACACACGATGTCAATTAAATCATATACAATTATTTATAAAATATTTTTTTTAACCTTTAAATTGTAATTTCAAGAAAATATTACCACAGAAAAAGAATGTTTTCACTAATATTTCCAATTTTATTATTTTTATGTTGCTTAATTAATTAAACGATTTTTTTAAATTTCATTATTTTAATGTCATAATTTCATCACAGTTAATAACAGATTTAAAGAAATCAATAAATAACGTTTAAATACAAAACGTGTACAATATGGAATTATTTTAATTGCTAATTATGTAATGATTTTGTTTCTCAATATTTTACTTTTTTCTGTTGCAGATTGGGGTGAGTGGTCCACAGAAACAATGAATAATGATGTCGGGAATCGGATTGAAGATTGGAGAGAGTTTTTTTTTATATTGGGAATGCGAAAGATAAAGGTGGAGAGAATCGTTATGTAATAATAATAATATTTTTTACGGCGTTTTAACACGGCCGTAATAATTTATTGGATCCGTCTTATGCATTAGGTGCAAGAGAGTGAAGCTGTCGGAACGGGAAGAGATAAGAGACGGAGAATGGATGGGTGTTTAAAGAGAGAGACTTCATCTGGAAGAGCGGATGAATTTCTGACTCAGATGTTTATTTTTATTTATCTTTTTTTTTGTCTCATTTGAATCGATCGTTGTTTTCTTTTAAAGTCTTTTGACTTTGCGATTTGCATTCATTGGAATAACGCTTCAAAAATGAAGAATATTCTTGAAATGCAAATCGGAGATGGTTTTGATAAATCTACTCAACATTAGATATTACATTTATCACCATAACAAGTTAAATATTTACTTTAATTGTATACATTAAAGGCACAAGGTTTCAAAATGGTTAAAAACATGTTTAAATAATTATTTTATTAATGTTAACTTGTAAGTGAATATTATGAAAGAGCGAATGTGATATGTTTTTTCTTCTTGTAATTAACTTGTGTTTGAATGGTTTATATTTCCATATTTTATCTTTTTGTTTTGTAGTTTTTGTTTTTGGGTGGTTCGTGAATGAGAGTTATGAAGTCGGAACAAGAAAGAGAGTATTTAAAGCGACGTGTGTATGCAGTTTACAGATGAGTTTTGGACCCGTTTTGTCTTATGTTAAATATTATTTCATTACTGCTTCAACTTTTCATTTTTCTCTTACGTACTTTCTGTTTTCTTCGGTTGGAATTAAGTAATTTTTCAATTTATAAAATTATTCGAAACGTAAACTTAAAATATAATTCCAATTATTAGTTTTTTTTATTACACTTATTAAGCAGAATTAATAGACAAACAAATAATAAAATTTGATTTCGCAAAATGCGTTTAATTAAAATGCCATCAAATTAAAGAAAAAATAAATGCAGTTACTTCTTGTTATATAACTAATTAATTTGTTTGTTTAATTTTAAGAAAAAGCAATTATTAAACTTGTTATGTTTTTGTAATAGACAAATATTAAGTAATTAATTAAGTAATAATTGGAAAAGACAAGTTGTATATAGTAGATAGAATTAATTAATTTAGATATTAATCTTTATTAAATAGGTTTTCGGTTTAAGCAAATTAAAATTATACTCTTTTCATTATTTGGATGTAACAAAGTTATTATTTTCCGTAGATTATATTGATTAATTATTAGTTTAAATAAATTACATTCATTGATAATTAAAAAAATGCTATTAAGAAATAATTAAATATATTCATGACTTTAGAGTAGAAATATTCACTATCAATATGAACATAATGTTATATAATATTATGACAAAAAAAAACGATTTAGTTAGATATTTTCTGTAATAAATATTTATTAAATATGTTAATGTTATAATCTATTTATTTCGGTGTTATTATGATATGTTCATTTATTTTCAAAAAACATAAATGACAAGAAAAATTATTTAAAATTATTAATTTTGTATTTTTCCCTATAACGTAAAAAAAATAGTTTATTAATAAAATTATTGATATTGGTACAAATTAACTATTCATTTTATAAACTATAATGGAAATTATGAAATTCTCTTCATAATTATTCAATTTTATAATATTGTAGACAAATGAACAAAATAGGTTTTAATAATTAACTTAATTTTTAATAAATGTATTCAATGCCTTTAAAAAATAAGCTTTAATACTTTTGTTATAGTAACAAAAGACTATTAAGTAATGTATTAGAAATTATACTTATAAATTTAACTAGAAAGTTTTAATAAAGTTTTTGAAAAAAAACAACAATTATTAATGTTAAATTCAATCTATTATATAATATTTTTGTATAAGTAATAAATATGATTTATTTGAATATATTTAAAATCGTTTTGTAATGTTCTCGTTACATTTTATATATAATTATTGGTAAATACTTTAAATCTTTAGATTTTGAATCTACTTTAGTATAAGTATAAACGTAATGTCTCATTTTGTATATATGTTATTTATGAAACAGAAAGTATTTAAATTGAGTTTTCTTTTTTTTTTCGTTGTTTTGTTTAATTTTGCTTTTGAAATTGTTATGAGTTAACAGGATAGCAGATGGATGTATATGAGTATGTATTTTGGCGCGATTTGAGTTAAGTCATGTTGTGTATTTGTTGGGCCGTTTCTCTCGGCATGTTTGATTGTTGATGATGAGATGAGAATGTTTGGTGAGCGTGGAAGGATGGTAGTAGTAGGATGGATGGTATGGATGGATGGATGGCATGGAGCGGCGGTTGCGTGCAGTGCAGTGCCGTGGGGGCTTGGAGTTGTTGTATATTGAGCGCCTCGTGTTCGTCGAGAACGGCCCCCCATTGGCTGGAACCGCACCTGCTCGGATTGGCGCGGTCGTGGAGGGGCGCCATTACCGCTTCTAGTACCGTGGATAAGGCATAGAGGGCTATAGACTGAACATACATGGGTCATAAAGGATTCGAAGAAGTAGAGGAGAAGGACGCGTAAGAATTTCTTCTCTTGGTGTAAAGGGGTTTAAAGAGAGCCCATCAAATAGCCCTAATATTATTAAGTGCGCGCGTACCATCATCCGAGAGAGCGAGTGTGAAGTGGCCTGGGTAATAGTTTAATTGTTCCGGACTATGACCGGCAGTGCAACGAAGCGGTGGAGTGATCGGAACCAGCAATGAGTTCCAAATTCATCATCGATAGCATGCTTCCAAAGTACCATCAGCAATTCCATCATCAGCAGCTGTTCCCCAGCCCGACGACAACGTCCTCCATCGAAGCAAGCCTAGCCTCCGCCGTCAACTACAGCTCCTCCGGCTCCCCGAGCGGCTCATCGCCGCAGCACTCAAACAGCAGCGCTTCCTCAACATCCCCAGCCTCAAGAATGTATCCGTACGTCTCCGCAGCCACCGCCGCCGCCCATCACCATCACCAGCAGCAGCAGGCGGTGGCAGCAGCCGCTTTCAACGCGGCCGCCGCCTCCGGCACAATGGTCCCCGGCGGTTTCCCGACGAGCGCGAGCACCGCTGCCCTTGCCGCAGCAGCCGCCGTCGACGCCGCCAACGATAAGTCCTGCAGGTACACGGCCGGCCTCGCCGGAAACGTCGCCCCAACAGATTCTATGGTCAACTACACTCTCGGACATCACCATCAAAACGGCGCCGCCGTCTCCGCCGCCAATTCCGTCAGCGCCGCATCCGCCTCCATGGCCGTCGCTGCTCAATTCTACCATCAAGCAGCGAGCGCCGTCGTCGACCCGCTGACCTCCTGCTCGCAACCGGCGGCACCCGGCGGACAACCCATCCCGGACATACCAAGATACCCATGGATGTCGATCACAGGTAAACCAAAAAAAACAAATCCAAATTCGTACAAACCAAAATCCGACGGCAGTAGCCAATCAAAATAAATAAATAATAAAGAAAAAAGAAACATAATAATAATAATGGCAATAAAACATGCGTTTAATGGCCACTTACCGAGCCATAACAATAAAACTAGCCATAAACCTTAACCCGTAACACGGGCGAAAAAAAAAGAAAGAATCGCGTTCGTGATGCCAATGACAATCTTCCGGACACCTTTTCCTAATTCGTTTCTTTCTTTTCTCTTGCAGATTGGATGAGCCCCTTTGACCGTGTGGTGTGCGGTGAGTACAATGGTACATATTCGAATCTTTTTTATTTATTTACTTACTTACATTATTTATATTTATTTTTTTTTTACTTTACTTACCTTAGATTTTAGTTACAATTTATTATGTTTTCGTTTGAGCGTTCACTTTTAAAGTTCAGGCTATTCTTGTGCCGAGCGAATCCTTTTCGGAGCGTTTGTTGTGTCTGTGACACACGAAATGTTTTGTTTTTATGGGCGACACGCGTGATTGACCTTCGTGCTCTCGCTTTGGGCTTATATACTCAAGGATACTTTTCATCTGAATACAGCTATACAACGATCATTTTCATTATTATTTTTTTTATTATCTCAATAAAATCATTAACAGTTCAGTTGGGAAAAAAACGGTAGTTTATTCACGTTATAAAATTTCATTGCAGACAAAATATAAAGACTTCCATTTTGATATCTTATTAGAAACATTAAGTTTAAAAAAAAAACAAAATTTTTTATCATCTCAATAATATCATTAATAGTTCAGTTAAAACTGTAATTATTTAATTAATTCAACAATTATAATTTTCTTAATTGTCTTCACTTTATTTGAGACAGAATATAATCACTGCCATTTCGTTATCTTAATAAATATATTAAGTATTAAAACAATCATTTTATTCTCATAATAATTCAATAAAAACGGTAATTATTTATATTATAATCATCATCTTCTTAATTGTACTATAACATTTATTTTGATATCTCAATAAATATAATAAAAATCATTTTATTATCTTAATAAAATCATTATTAGTTCAATAAAAACGACAATTATTAACATTATGATCAGTTAAATCAATAATCGCAATATTACTCATTGTTTTCTGTATTTTTTAAACAACCATTTAACAATTAATTTAATTTTTTAATAAAATCAACAGAAATGATCATTATTCAATTTATATTTAATAAAAACTTTGAGGCAAAATACATTGTTCTCTTAATTTAATTATTAAGTATTAAAAGAATAATTTTATCATCTTAATAGAATCATTAATAGATATAAATTGTGCTTACTTAAGTCATAATCTTCTTTGTTGTCTGCATGACCACCATTTTGATATCTTTATAAAAATAATTATTTTTATTATATTCTTTTCATTTGAAACAATGATTTCAATTCTAATATCTTAATAAAATTTAAATAATATAAAATGGTTTAAAATTACTGAATTGAATTTATTATTAAATCATTTATACATTATTACTTTAAATCTATAGAATATCCATGGAAGAACGTCTTGTTTTCTGTTTAAACTAAATAATGAACACATGCATATTTTTATATACTTACAATAAATTATTTCTATTTATTACAAATAATTTGTTAACTACTCAAAACTGATATTATTTTCGTAATAAAATCAATCAATCTACAATGAACATTATTTGTCTTGTATTCATTTGAAATAAAAGAAATAAAAAGTTCTATTTTCAATGGAAATAAAATATTATAATACTTACAAAGTTCAAATAAAAATGTTATCTATAATCTATCACAGTTGAATGAAAACATAGTAATCTTGACATATTTTTATATAAAGTACAGTAACAATTACTTAATTCAAATTCACAATTAAAATGTCTTTAAACAAAAACAACCATTAAAATCACTTAAGTTTTCAATTATTTATACAATCAGAAACAATAATAATTTGTTATCTTTGTAATTTTAAAAATAATTTGTATAATTAATTGTTAATTTATATTTACAATAACTTTAAGTTATATTTAGAATCGATTTAATGACTTTAATAAATATCAATAATTGTTCCATTAAAAGCGTTTAAATTTTCCATTATTTATAGAATTTTAATCTTTGTATAAACGTTTTTGCTGTAATTTTAAAGATAATTTCAATGTACATTTATATACAAAACCAAGAGTATTAAAATCACTTAAATTTTCAATTATTGATACAATTGTATATGAAGATTAAATATAAAAATAATTTACGTTTATATCTGTAATTTTATAAATAATTTCAATAATTGACTGTGAATTTATATACAAAAATTACAAGGTTAAAATCTCTGTAATTTTCTCTTTAAGTTAATCGTTGGAAATTATTGGAATTTAATGTAATTACCATTAACATTTTCAATCATTGCGTTGTTGTATCTTCACTTCGTAAAACAATTAATGTATTATTAATATAACTGGTTTGAAAGATGTTTTGTGTCGTTCCTCTCATCTTCTTCTGCTTCTTCATTTTTTTTTTGTTATAATGGAACGAGATAATTCCGGTAGTTGCAATCAGGAAATTATCGCCATAAAACGTATTTTATTACGACTTTATTTTTATGCTCGGTTTCGCCTCTACTCTTCCTTTCCCAACGGCGGAGGCTATGATTTTAGGTTATGCGACTTAAGCGTAGTCGTAAACCCGACTTAAGTCATAATCGGCCGCTTATTCCACTACTTTCTGTCTTCGCATTAGTCAAAACTACTTTCTTAACCATCATTAATACATTTTCATAACTTTATATTTAATATATGAATTTTATATTAATTATATTAAAATCTTTTTTGCATACATTTTCTCGTGTAAATTAATATTGTTAATATATTTATGAACTTTTAATTTAAAGAAAACTTAATAATTGGGACAAAGTTTATGTACATTTTCTATTAATATTTCATAATTCTACATTATTTTTGACTTAGGATTAAAAAATAGTAGTATTTTATGCTTTAATCGTGAAAAATGTGATGAAATTTATGTTTAAACACGAATGCGTTTTAATTAAGTAAATCTTTCCGGCCTTTCCTAATTAATCTAATTAATGGGCGCCTTTTATTACTTCTAATTATATCTTTGTTGAAACCAAATGCACAATAGAGAAACAAAAATACATTTATTCAACATCACTAAAAATCTCAATAATTCTCTACAAATTATAACAATCATCATCATCACATTTTTTTCTAAAAATAAGTTGTAATTATTCGAAACATTGTTTATTGTTTCCATCATCAAATGTTATTTAATACACTCAATAATTGCATTTAATTGTACTTAAATTTCTTAAAAAAAAACACATCAATTATTTAGTAATGTTAATGTAAAAATAGAATGAAGTAATGTTTTTTTTTTCTAACGCATCTAAATTCATTGAATAATTATTTCGTGTTGGTTCACAGAAATTTGAATTTGATTGCTTCATTATTCGAATCCGTTCATTTTCTATCAACAAAATTTGAATATCGATTGCATTTCTCTTTTTGTCGTAATTCATTTGCATACTAAAAACTAATCCATAGATTAGTGACTTTTGAAATTATTCTACCTTTTACAAACATAATTAATCCCATATTAATATGAAAAATTGCAAAAATTTAACCATCGTATTTTTTACTTAAGTCAATGTCCTAAGCAATGACAATCTGTGATAATCGTGTGATTATTTCTCTTCGAAAAGAAAATAATCCATTCATAAATTCATGTAATTAAACTGTTTTGTATTCAAATTTCGTCCATTTTATTTATATGCACAATCATTATTTTAATGATCTCTTAAAAATATTTTTACGACCCATTATCGTTGATTAATTATAAGTTTAGCATTTTTTTAGTAATCATAATAATTACGCTTTAATTAGCAAAAATAACGCACGTGGCGGAAGCTCAAATTCTATTTAATTATAACTTTGGATAGAGACAAAGAGTTTATATCATGGAGGAAGTGATGTAACGGGTATTTCTCGATTGATCAAACGTTTTTAATTCATTTTTAATCACGTATCCGGATGTTATCGAGAAAACTGTTCGTGACTTTTCCTTTGCTTTTTGCCTTTCACGTTATTTTATGTTAATAGAAAGTCCATACATAAATTCGATTTACTCTAATCTTTAACTTTATTTCTGCGTTAATTAACTGTTAAGTTTATTATCGGAATTTAATTTATTTCAATTTATTATTGCTTAAGATAAAATTTATATCTTCGAAGATCATAAACATGCGTAGTTTTCATTAATTTGCAAGTTTTTCTTTGCTTCTTGTGTAACAAAATTTAAATTTATACTACGAAATAAGAAGTTTTGAGTCTAACACTGTTTTTTTTTATAATTGTGGCTTTGAAATACTAATTTCTGTTACAGAATTTACTTGATATTTTGACTAATTATATTAAATGATTTATATCATTTTTTTAACAATTTTTCATTGAAGATTTGTATAGAAATAAAAAATGAAAATTTAATTATTGTAGTTATAAAATATATTAAACATTTTACTAATTATATTTCAATGATAATTTTTTTATTTAGAATTATAACAACTGTTCTTTTAAGCAATTCCATGACAAAATTGTGATTTTCAAAGTATATAAACACGTGTTTCTATTCTTAATTAAAACCGATTAAGTTTACTAATCTAATTCAACGTTCGTTAAGCAACAAACTTAAAATTTGTGGTCATAGTTAAAGTTATATAAATTAAGAGCAAAGTAAGTTGTTACAAAAAGAACGTGAGTGTTTTCTTCCGGCGTTGAGAGAAATCATCGTGAAGTGTCCTGTTGGAATATGGAATGGCGTGTATTTTTAAAATGGTAAAATCTCTCAAGACATATGTTCGGTTCAGTGTGTCACGAAGCCGAGACCGAAAACAACTCGAAGAAAAAGAAAAGCAAAAAAAACACACACAGTTGGCCTGAATAAAAGATGCGACAGAATCCGAGTCAAGATGATTGCCACCGGTTTTTTAAAGACAAATAAATAATTGACTGCCTGTGGACAATTTAAACTTGACCCGTCGCCTGATGATACTTGCATAAACAGCGCAATTAACAATAGATAATTTCATTGTGTAATCACAATAACGTTGAGTCAAAGTATGCAATGAAAAAATTATAAAACGCTTATTTTAAACTTAACAAAAATATTTTACGTTCTTTATTATTGATGTATATCATTTTTAACGTAATTTTATATAAGAAATAATGAAAGTATTCAGTTTAAAAAAAATATCTAAAAATGTGGTAATGTTT